CGCGATGTCGAATACTGAAACTGTCTTCTCCCACAAAAAAGTCAAACTCGATAGGAATAATTTTCCATTTCGAAAAAGGCAATGAAATATTGACTTTCACGCAGGAATATAACAGAATAAAATCTGGGCTCGATCGTGTTGCAAGTTGGTTCCTATGTCAACGAAACTCAGGACAAATCAGTCGCTCCTTCATTTATCCACATCAAATCTCACACCGAAAAGTTTTCCGAACTTTTTTTTTCTTCCTCAGATTCAATCCCTATCCCAGCATTACGCTGTTAGATGCAGGAACTGCAGATGCGTTGCATAGGAGGACGGGTTAATGCGATAAAGGTCCGCGAGGACAGGGAGGGGGGCAGGGGGAGAGTGCGGAGTGGGAAATGGGAAATGTGGTGAAAATGGCTGGTCGCTTTGCACAGTCCGCTCCGACCCGCCGGGGGTGAGGGAGGGCACCGGGGGGCAAACGCCAGGAGGGGTGGCGGGAGCCCACTACAAACTACCCTTGCGACAATCAATCCGTATCAATGTGCTACCTCGCGCCCCCTCCGGCTACGCTCCCTCATTCCAAGAGATTTATCTATCGTTTATAAATTATTCCAACTATTTTCGTGCCTTCTCCTCTTTTATTATCATTTCATTCGTGATTTTTCCCGTTTTTCCTCTCGATTTTTTTTCAAAATCAGTCGTTTGCCTGTCGGTGAGGAGCATCTCAAAGCTGAGCTCCAGCACATTCTTGTTTTATTAATAATTTTTAATTAATCCTCGATTTCATTTCTTCGTCGGCCGCCGGCAGTTTTTATTCGTCCGCAACCAAAATGAGTTTTGAGCAACGGGCGAGCCGTGTGGGGAAAAAATAATAAATGATTTAGTTTTGCTCGTGTGCACTGAAACTATGCGTAATTTCTCTTTTCCTTCGGCTTTGTAGTTTATTGGTATATGCGTATCTGTCCAATCACAAATTTTCATTTTCAAACAGTATACCAAACTTTCGCTCTACCACGTTCCGTAACCAGTATGATTTTTGATGTCGGTAAAAGCACGAAGAAAGGAAACTCCCTCTTGAATACTTAACCGGAAAAAAGTTACGGGATAATAGATATACCGTCCGTTTCGAGCTCTTAGGCCGTAAGTTCCGGGTGCTGCAGCCGTAGCTTTGACTGCTCCGGATGCTACACCCGGAGCTTCGGCATGTACGCCCGGGACGCGGATGGTATGTCTATATTACGGCTAAGTACGGCTTTCACGGTCGAATTTTTTTTTTTTTTCAGTGTTAGATGGATGGTCGAATCACTTATCTTTCAAATGTGATGATGATTTTAGGAAAAGAGCACAATGTCAATAATATCAGTGACGCCGCGCCCTTTCAAATGTTTTCAGTTATGGAGGGATAAAGTGATCTTTTGAAGAACCATCAGTTCGTTGGAGTCTAACATACCTATACTGAGAGACTCGGCACGGGCTATACTCGTGATCGAACATTTCCTCCTTGGTATTGAGCAATTTTTCGGTGATCGTAAACTGGTGTTCATCGGAACTCTCTTTTTAAGTGTGCGCTCCTTGCGTTGGAGGTCATATTTCCTCGGCAACTTCAAATTCGGATTCAGCAAAAATAAATACATGAGAATTACCTGCATCATCTTCGTTGCATCCATATTCTTTTACTGCATTTGAACTATTATTTTTGGGAGCAATTTTGGCATGGAGCTCGGTAGAGATGAAACCTGCCTCATTGAGCGTGATTTTACTATTATGGTACCATAAGGATTTCATTGACCAATGTGTGTATACATTCCTGCGGGAGAGGAGAGTTCCTCCTTAATGAGTTGTTTGGGTGTCGCGGAGGAAGAGGGGCTTTACATAAGGGCACGAAAGTGGTTTGAGTCACGGCAAGTGGCAAACACGGAATGCATGCGCCAAGAGATTCAGCATGTGCCCCGGGAAAGGACCCAGTCGTAACTATCTTTAACTGACGAGGTGACAATTGTCATTCTTGTAAGTTTATGTTACGGAGTGTCAACATAACTACAGCTGATGCGCCCGTAAATCCTCCTGCAACACTCCAAACATGACTTCTCGGCCGGCTCTCCCCGAGGCATGACGAAAATAGTGCCAACACCACGAACCGCGTCAGTCTACAGGGTGTTCCCAAGTTTAATAATTTAGGTATACTGTATACGTGCTGTAATTTAAACTAGCAGGTTTTATTATAATTTTGAAGATTATTAGTTTAACTTAACTTAAAATTTTAATAAAAAGTAAACAGAATAAAATAAGATATTAGAAATAAAAATCTTTATAGTCCAAATCTAAACTAGCAGGAAAAAAAAACCCCAATAGAAAATCTTAAAAGTTCTTACAGTATAGAAATCTTCCAATAGAAAAATTTTACACCAATAAATTATGAGGCATCTCTCATCACATGAAAATAAAAGATAACTGAGATATATGTGGGAAAAATATTTTTTCCCAAGTTTAACTGCGACAAAATCAAATTATGTTCTAATTAAATTATGATTAATGGTCAAAATGGGTATATTTCCTTTCCATTTTTGGTTGATTTTAATTTGTGGAAAATTCGAATGAATTAGATTTTATATTTTATCTACTCTAATAAAATGAATTCCTTTAATCTTATTATATTACTTATTTTCTATATCAAGATTTTTCTTTGTTATGGTTAGTTCAACCATCTTTGGTAGTTTAACAGGACTAAACAATAGAACTATCCAAAAAATAATGGGTTCCAGTTTTTTGGTTAATATCTGTTGGTTTATTTATAGAATACGAATTAGGTTAAATTTGTTTCTTTTTTATTTTATAAGATATACAATTATACTTTGTTGCGTCATTGGAGATTGAAGAAGAGTGCATTTGCGATCATCCGCGAGATTGGGCCGGTGAGACCACGAACACTTGGCGAAAATATGTTGCTACCAGAACACAGAGGTGTGTTTTAAGAACGTTACCGCCGGAAAAAAGAGCAAAAATATCAGACGAAATTGCATTGTGACCGGTCAAGACAAGATTTTTTATTTCACCCTCAATTTTGATGATACTTCAAGCACATCCATAGAGCACGAATATTGGTATCAAAGAGCCGTGTGAGTTCGAGAGCCTTGTTCTGTTGCCTACGCTTGATTTTTAACATTTCAACGGTATATTTTACGCTGGTATCTTGGTTCGATAGTATCGAGAAGTTGAGAAAAACTAAAATAAAGTTTGCCCAGATGCCGGGGATGGTTGTTCTGCTTTGATAGAAAGTGATCGTCTTTAAGAACGGCCCGAAGTTGGAGTCAGAACAAAGCGTCTCATTTCGCCTTCAATTTTGATGATACTTCAAGCACATCCGTAAAGCACGAATTGTGGTATGACGCCTCGACGATATTTTTTACGCAAGTGTCTAAGTGGTCTCTTAGTTCGATGAAGATTAATCCAAGTCTTCACCTTGTCGTCCGCATGCCTGACCTATTCCAAATATTGTTCAAAAAATTCTCTGGCAAGATTTTTGACGAACTTTTAAAATTGAGAATGGAAAATATTATTGCTGAAACATACTCAAAATACCAACAAAATTCTCTAAAAATATTTCGAAAAGACTCTGGTAACATCCCAACAGGGTTTAAACTGTCTGCAGGAAAGACCAGTAAGTGCTTTGATAATACTTCGATGTAAGTTTCAAAATGTCGTATATATCCGTTCTCATCGGACTTTTTTTTAATGAATAGAAAAAAAACGAGTCGACAACAAGAAAAAACAAATAAAGCATTGAATTCACCCAAAAGGTAGAATTTGTGCAGGTGCTTCAACAAACTTATCATATAAAACTAAACAAGTATAAGAGATCTTTTGAATACAGTGGAAATCGGATACAATTACCCTCCAAGAACCGGCCGAATTTGGTCGTTCTATCCGAATGCCGTTGTAATCGATGCCTAAGCACATCGAATAAATAGGGTTTCAGCCACGGGATTGGCCAGATCGCAGGTCGTTGAAACCAATATGTCGTCATAAGCAATGTCGTAATATCCTTTTTTCACTGTACGTAGTGAAAAAGAACTTATCTTAGAATGTAATGAACGAGCAGGTGTGTATATTCACAAAATTAAATGTATCTAAATTTAGTAGTCAAAGAAGAAGGTTGGTGATGCGACCAGAGGAGCTTTCTAACTCGCTATGCAAATTGAATCACTCCGTGTAAGGAGAAGGGTGGGGATTCGCGCTGGATTTTCACGGTCGGCTTTTCTCTTGGCGTAAAACGTAGATTGTACGATTTGATGGCTGGTGCTCAGCAACCAATGGCGGTCACGCAACGGTGTCAGGCACCGGGCCGCAACCGGTAAGACAATGTAACAAGTAGACAGCTCCTCTCGCCAAGCGCCTCCCGATTCCCGCCCGCGCAAATAACTCAGCCCGTGTAAACACCCGCTGCAATCCCAACAGCTGCGAAAATTGTCGGATTAGCGCTAAGCCGCCCGAGTAATTATGTCATAATTTTCGGTTTCCCACGTTTTCCCCCAAGCTTCGCCGATGAAAACGCCATCTGACGACTCTAGCTGCCCGTCGAGGAATCAAGTTATGCTTTTTAGAGCGTGTCTTAAGGGATCATTCGTGACCTTACAGTGACTTATAAATAGCCTCTTCGTAGAGCTTTAAGGATGTTGACTGTAAAATGTAACGATTTTTAAAGCCGCTGATTATCATCGAGGAAGCCTAATGGCTGGTCTTCTCGACCTAAACCATTCTCTTGGGGGGCTTGTTTTAAAAATCTGAGGAAGGCTTTTAGAACCAAAACATATTTATCCGTCGGGATGGTTTTGTATCTCTCTCCACAGATCATCTATGCATAATATGCATTCATATTTTTTTTATCTTTTTTGTAATTTTTAAAATATTTTATATACACAAAAAACTATTGATAAAATATAAAATTCAACTCGCTTGAATCTGGAGCTACAAAAGCTTGTATCAATGTAGTAATCCTGATATTTCTTTTCTTTCAGGTAAAAGTTTTACGCTGACAATAACAATAAGTTCCTCTCCACCTCAAGTAGCAACGTACAATAAAGCCATTAAAGTTACCGTGGATGGTCCCAGAGAGCCTCGATCAAAAACTCGTGAGTATTTATTTTTGCATCCATTGATGAGTGTATGAGAGCCGTGCGGAAATAAATTGTCTGCCTTGGTAAGAAGCGCTTCGAAATTTTTGCTGCCTACTCTTCAAAATTCAAAGGGAACTGCACTGGCACTAAATCCATTAACATTGATAACTTTTTTAAGATTGACACAGCTGTGTCGGAGTCTAAAACATCGATTGTCTACTAGGTACATCGATTTTCGATGTCTTAGCGTGCTGACATGAGTTGGAGCCATCATCCCGCAGGCACCGCCGACTCGTACCGATTGATCAGCAATTATTATTGTTGAACATTTTTATAGTACTTTGGTTCAAATGTGGGTGATCCAGGACTATTTATTTTCTGAAATTCTCACCATAACTGCCTGCATAAGGAAGCACAACATGAATAAATTTCCTGATCAAGATGACATCCGCGAATATATCATTGGGACAGTGCTAAAAGTGAAAATTATTCAAAAAGCCCTGTGTGCCTTAAATCTGTTGAATTGTTGATTATTTCACTGATCAAGTTGAATCATCTGTAATCAAACTCCCCAGTCATCATCGGAAAAAAAATTAATGTAATCTTCGTGGGTATAGCCATCTCTCTCGCCGAAGAAATCGCGATGGCCACCTAATCATTAGGTTGATATAGTAGTGGTTGAAATTCAGTGACGACTTAAAAAACTAATGCAAAAATAGAGCAAAAATAAGATAAGTATTTATGGCATACTTCTTTATAGATTCAGTTTCAATAAATCTTACTAAACATAAAATATTTTCAACTGATAAATAATCTCAGATGCAAGCAGAATGAAACGCGTAGTGGGGAAATTGAATTCGTTGCGTCTCTCTCTACGAATTGGGAGAAGTTGCTTTGTACGTGCATTAAATTGTTAGTTTTTCTTCTGAAGGGAAACCGTAGCAAAGGACTCTTACGATACTTTCCTTACTCACGAGTGCTCACATCGAAAATAAAATTGCAACTGTTGTGTCCATATGCGTTCGGATTCCTTCGAATCCCACCAAATGATAAATTCAAGGGCATCGGTGGAACTTGCACGAATCTGAGAAGAAAAATACCATCCACTTATTAGCGATTAAAATTTTACAAATACAAACTTGGCGGGCGGTCATTGACATCGTAAATCATTCGCTCTTCGCCGCGGGAAAACCGAGAATGCTAGAAATACCCACCACGAAAGCCCCGCGCAACGAAAAACACGAAGGGGAGTCCGCACAATCGGCAAATATCCCATAGTCGGGTCCCGATTCTTGAAAATTGCAGCTTGAAATCTCGATTTTTTGAGAGACTTGACAACAAGCCAGAGCGAAAGACGTGTGAGGGATTAGCGCTTTAGCCGACGAGAGGAATCGCCGATAAATCCTTCCGTGGAATTTAAAATGTTGATGTTTTGTTTCGTTGGCCAAACTCCCTGGGCTAATGTTGTCGGTAAATTAACTTTTCATTAACGTATTTGCTATTAGAGTCACCACATTAGCTATGCTATAATTAACCGCCAAATCTTTATTGCCGCTTGCCCATCACCTTTCACGCGGACATTTTAATGGGTTTCAATCTGGAGTGCACCTTACGTAATTATTTAACTTCAGCTGCTAGTTTCAAGCGAGGAGTAGGAATCGAAGAATTTGTTTTTTGCAGCGGTTGTACCACATTCCTCGTCCTCACGATGAAGAGGCGTATCAAGATTTTGACTACTTTTCAGGAGAGCAAAAATAAGATTTTGGAGAACTTAACTTTTTCGCCCCCAGGTCCCTAATTAACGTATCTGTCTTTTTTTTCGCATTCAGAACCGGAAAAAGGTCAGAATTTTAAATGTCTAATTGGATTTGTAAAAGTATGACTAACAACCTTGATATCATTGAAATATTAGAATAGGGTGCTGATACGCCTGTTGGCGGAGCACTGAATTAGGCTCCTCCACTGCTCCGCTGGGTCTTCTGGGCGGGCGTATCACCTTGTTGCGCTGTCTTTCCCCTATCTCATTCCTTACTTGTCAGCTATTTCACCTAATTTCTTATCTTTGAGTTTGATTTTTCTTCAGAATTTTTCCTTGGTTGTCGGTATTGTGCATCTACTATGGTTTAAGGTAAAAACATCATTTTTGAGGTCTCTAAAAGGTTATGAAAATAAAAAAATTAAGAGAACCCATATTCCATTAGAATTTTCAAAAGCAGTGCCTTGTGAATGAGACTTAAAAAGAATCTATGCTGATGTTTAAAATTATGAGAGCATGTATTTTATGACTTCCTAGATAGTTGACATACTTCAATTTAGAGCTGTAAAACAATGCCTTGCTAGTAAAATTTGAGAAAGAAAAATGCTTAAAATCAAAAATATGTGTCAATACTTCAATTTCGTGGCAGATTATGAAATTCTATTTTAAGAGATAGAGTAAAATAATGTTTCTTTTTATTTCCCAAAGACGAAATACTGTTTATTGTTAAAATTGACTACATAATAATGCCGAATTGTATTTCTGACAATCAAGTCAAATTAGGTAAACTAAATTGACTTTTGGCAAATAAGAGCTCGCAGCTTGAAGTATTCTAAAATAAAATTTTCATTGCCGCTCCGAATGTATTTTCTCCATTCTTCATCACTGAAAATTAATAATCTTAACCAAACGCTTTGATAGTTTGAATATCGCAATCTCATGACCTGAACAAAACGGCGGACAAATGTTTTCTTTAATTCAATTTAAAACACTTCATTTTGTTTACTCTTGATGGCCGGGTGGTAAAAGCTGTTTTTTATGGACAAGATTAGAACAATGAAGTTAAATATGAACTAGGGGCTTATGGGACTGCTTCGCAGCCCCTTATTTTTCCTGTACACTTTTCACTTTCACATTTTTTTTTTTTTTTATTTATTTATTTTCATTTAATTTTCTGTTTTGTCTTTGAATCGGGTCTAATTATTTCTTTGAGAGAATAAATATAACAAATGTTTTAAAAAATTGTAATTTTATTTAGTAAACTTTAAACTAAAATTTTGTTTTAATCTTCATACAAAATTATTTTTTAGGTTTTACATTTGTTTTCAAACTAATTTTAAAGAAGATCTTTTTTTATTTTTTAAATACTTTGCTTTTTTTCGATTAAATTGTTGATTCTTCTTTTGCCATTTCTGTCCTCCTTTTCTTCCTATATTTCCTACAACTTTGCTCTTCTTCTTTCGTACTTTTGTCTTTTCTTTTTTTGCTTCTTCTTTTTCTTCTTCAGTAGCTGTTCCTTCTGGTTCTTCTTCTTTTTCTGCTCCTGTTTTAACTTCATCTAATTTTTCCGCTTTTTCTTCTTCGTTTTTTCCATGTTCAGTCTGCTTTCTGGTTTCCGTATTTGCTGGTATGTTATCTTTTTCTTGTTTCGTTATCTTACTATTCCACATATAAGTCAGTTGTTTATTACCCATGTATGTTCCTAGCTTAACTTGTTTGATAAAAATGGTTTTTCCCAAGTCTTCGTGTGCATCCGGAATGCAGCTGCATTCCGGATGCGTTAAGGGGTGGGCAGGAGGGAGGGACGGACTGAGAAACTGAAAAAAGTACGTTACGTAACGGTAAATATTAAATAAACTTACCTATATATGGATCCTTGAACTTTAAAGCAATAAGGTCCATCACCCGGAATATCAATTCGATTTGCAGAGAAAGAGGCAAAAGCAACAGCACTATTATAATTTCTGATATGCTTTATGAAATTTGGAGAATATAAAAATAATGATTTCAAATCGGTATTTGTCCGAATACTCGGTAAAGAAATTAAGCCATTTTGGCAGCAGTTATTAAAATGACCATTGGACATTTCACCCTGAAAATGGCGAGCATCACAATGATGACAAATTATATTCATTGAACCGACTGAAAATTTGGTAACAAAATTTTCATCAAAGTTCTGATCATCAATTTTATACTTCCGAAATGAAGAAATGAAACTTTGATTTTCTATACTAATAACAGAGTTAAGTTCTTGCTTCACTAAACGAACATGCGAAGAATTCTGGAAAACGCGACCACGTTTTGGAGGACGACCGCCTCGGTCATTGAAAATTTCACTCATAACAACTGTTAAATTTAAAATTAAAATTAGTAAAAATTATTATTATTTTAACAAAATCATAACTGAAAAGTTCAATTTTTAAATTAAAAAAAATAAATCAGAAGAAAAAGGATGAAATGAAAATGGAAATTAATAATAAACATATTTATACACATTGAAAAGAAACAGCGTGAAAAGTTCTGATCGGAAATGAGAAAAAAAACTTGGAGGTTATTGACTTAATGAGGAAAAATTGGCAATAGGAAAAAGATGGAACCAATCATGAAAAACCGTAAAAAAAAAAACGCGGGAAAAGAAAAATGTAAGTTGATGGCAGTTGAGTGTTGGAAGTAACCTCACTTAATGATGATTGTTGAATGAAAACAGCTGATAAAAAGACAGCAAACAGTAAAGTAAGATGCGTAGCAACAAAACTTTTCCGAAAAACAAAAAACAAAAAACCCCCACTTCCCCTCATCCAATTTATGAGTTTTTAGGGATTTAAAAATCGGGGACGAACCCCAGAAAATAATTTATAGTTTTCCCGAAGCATTGAGAACAACACCTTTCAAATGAACCAACGCCCCTCGCAATTAGTACAGTGGTTGATTCACAATTTCATTCTATTTTTCAAATTAAATATTAAGATAATGAATTTGTAATTAAATGAATAGGCAAGAATTTGTCTGAAAAATCAATCAATCAAACACGAAAACTTCGATTGTAGTTAATTGTAATTGCAATTATTGTAATTGCAGATGGAAGACAAAAGAAAATGAATATAATTACATTTGATACGTCGCTCAGAAAAACAAAAAAACAATTTGAGCTATTAAGTAGTCCATCAAATGAATGACTTTGGGCAGTATCGAGTATCCTGCGGATTGTAATTATGATAACATTAATTTAAGACATAATTTCGAACTTAACACATTTTTC